ATGATACCAAGGCTCAAAAGAGGTACTAGTTGCATATCAGGGTTATCATCTAAGTTTCAGGGCTAGGACACTTATCAAATTTCAAAGACCAAGCTCTTTTCATAGTAAAGGGGAATGAAAAAGGACTAAAATTGCAACATGAGAAATGTGTCAAACACACTGAGGTTCATCAGACTATGGAGGGAAGAATAGGCTTTTCTCTTAGGCATTATTTAATAATGTTTGTCTTCATTGAGGCAAATGTCTTTGGAAATATGAATGACTGAATCAATAGCCAAGCAAATTATGGCCAGTGAGTTCAGGCTCTTCACGTACTAAACAATAATACTACTTCGTTTTTGTTTTTGTTTTTTTCCAATGGAAATGAGACATTAGATATAAAAGGAATACACGTTTTGTCTTATAGGGAACTAGAAAGGTCTCCTTCTCCTCTTTTATATTTATGCTTGATTTTCTTTTGAGCCAAAATATGTGGAAGAATTAAAAGTCACATATGATTCTATATCTTTACATAGCCCAAGCCCAGTTCAGTTATTCAAAGTGATGCTGGGTGTGTGTAAATCAAATGGCTAAATTGAATGTTTTATCACATTATTATTTTGGGGCAGACATTGCCCCTACCTAAATATCTAGAAATCATTAAAAGGAGTGGGAAGGACAGCAAAAGGCTTTGGTGACTTTGGAAAGACCAACACATATTTTGTGCATGGAGCCAAAGAAAGAATTGGAAAGTGAGGAGTTTTTAAAAATACCTGTTTTTATTGGATTAAATTATTTTACTAAGTCCTCTTCTGACCCATTGTTAGGTAAATTTATATTCATGTCTCCAATGCCTAGCATGATAACTGGCATAAAACAGATGATAAATATTTGTAGAGTAAGTGAAGCAATGAATGACATGGAGTTTCTTCAGTGTTGGGGCTGGAATACATTGAAACCTGAGACTCAATAAATAGAGATATCCCTTCTGCATTTCAAGGTAAAGCATTTCAATGATGATACCCAACCTAGTCTGTAAAGGATAGAATAATCTTTTTAAACCTTATAATAGCCTAGAACTTAACCAGTGACCAAGATATCATAAATGATAAATTAACATTGGTTGAATTGAGCAACCTCATATCACTGATATATTGACATCCAAGAAAACCCCACTATATTAACATTAACATTACCTTGCATGATAGGCAGGTTTTTAAAAATATTTAGAAGGGTTTTTTAAAAACATTATTTCCTCACCTGATTGAGAAAGAAATTCTATAAGATTGATAGGTTGAGTATTATTATTCCATCTTACCAATGAAGAATTAAAGGATTCAAAACTTAAATGCTTTGTCTAAGATCACACAAGTTAATAACAGAATCAACATTTGAATTCAGACCTTCTAAACTGGCTCTTCTTGATCAAACCTATCTTTCTAATGGATACAATTCTACAAGTAACAGATGGGTTAAACACAAAGACTACATTGACATAATATTTGCCAATTATCTTGTCATAAAGCTACCTGGAAATGTATTTGTAATTTTAATTTGAGATATCAAAGCCAATTTCTTCACATATTTGGGTAGAGTATGAGTATTATTTTAAAGAGCCAACAGCATAAATCCACAGAACTAGCTTCTTTCAACCAAAAGGTATTGTTTTCTAAATCTCCAAGTTAAATGTCAACTGTGATTCTAATGAAATATAACCATCTCTAGGTTTCATGAATCAAACTATCTTAGAGTTAATAGGCAACTTTACATATATCCTTCATAAGAGATTTCATCTCCTTTTCTCTCCAAGTTCCTTTTCTCCTCATTATACATTTTAATTAACTATTTCTACTATTTTGCAGATACTTCATGGGGCTCAGGAATCTCAGTTTATATACAAGGAGAAAAGAAGAGACAAGTTTCTTTCAGAATCCCTCAGTTTAACCCCACATCCTTTTTGTAAGAGCCCTTTGCCTTTTAAAAGTAATTAATCCAGTTGATACTTCAATATTTGGATTAGGTAAAGAGAGACTCCATCTCTAAATACAAGAAGAAACAGCTGGTCATCTGGTTGTGTCTTTCCTTTAAAATGTTTCTGAAGTTAGCCAATCTTTAGTATTGCTTAGGGTGTTGCAGCTGTCCTGGGTTTTTCCCACTGGCATGAGTATCTCTGGGCAAGACTTCCGCTTTGATAATGTGATAAATAGCTTCAACCTGAATAGAGCCTTCAAGACGCATGCCTGGAGGGGGATCTTAGTGAGCCAGGTATCCTCTTGGAAACCCAGAAGATATTCTGAGTCTCCAGGCTATCAGATTCTACTGAAAGCTGATTTAAATTGGTGCAGTTTCTGGGAAGATAGATGAAATTTCATGAAGTCTTACAGAGATATTAATGTCCCCAAACAGGTCTATGCTCTGCAAACATTGAAAACTATAAGCCATTTTTTAAAGGACAGAAACTAGGAGGTTAGCATGCTGAATTTCTTTGTAATCAGTGGAAGACTATTGTCTAATGAGTTTTCTTTAGAGTTTATAAACTTCTGTTGCTTTTGGAAGGTATTTGTATAAATTGGCCATGCATCCTCCAATACAGCTGATTTCCAGTTGAATGTACATAAGTGCCGGGTAATATCAAAAAATATGTGCTGAAACTCATTCTGGCAAACCTTCTCCTTATTGTTCAGTGATTTTATCTTAGCTTTCCCTCTCTAGTTGGTACCTGAAAAAGCATTTGGGATAGGGTAAGTAAAGGTCAAAGGCAGGCAGAAATGGGAAACTAATTTAAGAGCTCAAATATACCTTTTTCCTATTTTACTTTTCCTTGGGCCATAGCAAGGCTTTCCTTGAGATAGCAAGGCTTCTCAAGTGATATGTCTAGAATTTAACCAGGAAGACATCTCAGTATCATAGGTCCGTTTTGTAGATGAAATGGGGCAGGCTTCAGACTTGACTTTCATTAGGGGTCAGTATTAACTTTGGGAGTATGTTGAACAAGCCAAACATTTTAGAGGTACTAGTTCTGGATAAAATTATATGCTGGCAGACGTTATTTGAGCAGATACCCTTGGTTGCAAAGATGATTCTTTTTTCTGTAGTGGGTCTACGTAAACTATATGTTTTCAATAAAAACTTCAATGAGATTTTTCAAATGGATATTTATTTGCTAATCACAAAGTTAATCAAAAGAGAATCTGCCCAACAATAGCGAAGAAGATCTGCATCAAAAGAATAATGTATCAAATCAAAATGTAATGTTATAAAGGTAACACTTTAGATATAAAATAATATACCATTCAAAATGTAGCTAGAAAAATTAGGTGTCTATTTGGAAAAAATAAGCTATATATCTAATTCTAAACACAAATTTAAAAATCAAATGTATAAAAAAGCTTTAAAAATTATTAGAAAAAAACAGATGCTAATGAGATGATTAATAAATTATTACTTGAAATGTGAACATAAAGCACTGGTAGAAACCATAGGATACATGTATTTGGCAGGGAAAGTATTCCTAAGCAACACACAAAACTCAGAGACATACACACATGAAATCTGAAAAGTAGAGAGCTTTCTTCAACTGAAGGAGAAACCAGAGAGACTCATCATAAGAAAGGTTCAAAGCTTCACTGATAGCTTGAAGATGAAGAAAGCCATGTGACAGGAATGCAGGTGGCCTCTAGAAGCTGACAACAGCCCCTGGCTGACAGCTGTCAGGGAAATAAGGAGCTAGACTCTGCTGACAACTTGAATGAGACCCGATTGAGAAGCATATTCTTCCTAAGATCCTCCAGATATGAGCCCAGTGTGGTAAATACCTTCACTTTGGCCTTGTGAGGTGCTAAACAAAGAACACATCCAAGCCTCCCGGACTCCTGACCTATAACTATGAGATAATAAATGTGTGTTGTTTTAAGCTACTAAATTTCTGATAACAAACAAATATAAATGCCATGCAGCTATGTTTTTTTCTAAAAAAAGAAAAAGGTAAGCCTCAAAAATATTAGCTCACTAACAAAACAGTATGTTTAGTGCTATTACATTTTACTTTAAAAATAATCTAGGCGTGTTTCTGTTAATGCACAGAAAATAGTCTAAAATGATACACATCACACTCTCAGAAAAAGAGTGGGATTAGGGATTGAGGGATGCAGAGAACTTTCATTTTTACTTGATATAATTCTGTACTGCTCATTTGTTATAATCAGCAGGTATCAACTTTGTAAGGAAATGTTTTTAACAGTAGAGTACATTAGACCCCTACTTGGTAGGGTTTTTAAGGACCAAGTACTTAAAAATAATACTTACGGTTGTGTCTTCTATAATCTGATGTTTTACATTGATTTTATATCCAGGAAATGCATTGCTAATCTTTATAATTTCCCAGATATGCTCCCACTCACTTATGGACCTTCCTCCCTATAAAAGGTAGTTGTCTTGTAACATATGCTAACTACCAAATGAAATGATTGACAGGATGACTAGAGGGTGCAAAGGAGGCCAAAAATATCCTGGAGAAACCTGGCTTGAGTGGACTCTCATCCACTCAAGGCTAGTATCATTTTATCATAGTTTCCCATAGGGAAAAAAACCAAAAAATATTTGTTTAAACTTATGCATTGAACAAAAAAAAATGACTGCAATTTTTTAGTTTAAATGATACCAGTGTAGGATGTGAACCTTAAAATGATGAGAGTGATAGCTGTCCAGGTGAACAGAGAGTAAGAGAATCTTAGAGAACATCACTATGTCCCCTCTCCAAAATGGACTCCTCAGTAGGATATAAAACTCAAGTTCTTGGATCACTGAGAAGACAACATTCCCAGTTCTCCTAATCACACACCTGTTCCCAACCACCACTTACTGTCCCTGAGGTCTGTCTTGTTTGGTTTCTCCTCTGCCCCCAAACCAAATGTCCATGTCTGTCTCAAGATGACACTTGCTTCTAACAGCATTCATGCAGACCTGTCTTGGTTCCTAGCCTGGTGTGCTCCGAGCTACTTGCAAAAAAGGATTTCACTTACCTCTGTTATAAAGTACTGAGTATCCAGGAGCATAATGATTAAGGTTTAGGATAAACTAAGCTGGACTACTGGAAGAAATCCCAGCTCTGCCACTTGTGTGTCCTTGAGCATATTTCTTGACCTCCTTCCTTCTCTGTAAAACAGGAATAATGAAAGTACTTACTATAGGGTCACTGTGATCACTAAATGGGCTAGCGTGTTGTCCGGCACATAGAAGGTACAAAAAAAAATATGTTAGCTCTAACTGCTAGCATTTGTCTTTATCAATCTGCACTCCCTGTGTTGGCCAGATATACTCAGCAAAACAGGCTACACAAATTCCCGGCAGGCCAGCATACAGCTTGCAGGTTTCCCCAGGCAAGCATGCCACATCGAAGGCAATCCTCTCAACAAGGAGGTGAGCTGGGGAAGTTCTGCCCTGAGTCCCAGCTCTGCCTACCCCTCTATCATCCATTCCATTCTCTTAGGACCCAGATAAAAAGGACACAAGTTCCATGTGTCCACGCCACTTTTTATATACCTCCCTTCTAAAACCAGGTCCTCTGTGGTTTTAATTGTATACATGTCTCCTTTGCTAGCTTGTGAACTTAAAGGAGGGACCGAGTTTCCTTCCTCTTTGTATTTATTTGGTGATTTTTTTGCCTTGCAATACATCTGGAAAAGAGTTAATGCTAAATAAGGAATGAAAGAATGAATGGGAGTAATATTTGTAAGCAAGTCAATTGGACCAACCTAAAGTGAAAGGGCATTTGCCTTGTTATTGCCCAAGTCCCTGTGGGAGCCTTGGTTCCCACCTGCAAATGATGTTCTTCCCCCTTTTAGCAATGCTCTCTAGCATGCCTCAGCTTCTCCCCATCCCATGCTTTGGACTCCTTTCCCCCGTCTCCCTGTATCAGAACCCTACTTTCTCTTTCTGCTAAGTGGCAACCAGATGTGAATGCATTAATATATTAGGTAAGTAGCCCTTAAGACAAGGTACTAATAAATGGATATAACAGAAAGCTAAGAACCTTAATCCAGGGAAAACTCTTGTCTGCAAAGAACCTAAATGTAGGTCACTATAATGGGGCAATGTCAAGATCTATAGCAGGCAGGTGAGAGAAAGACATCCATGTGATCGTTCTTTCTCCTTGGAATCCTGATGGCCCCTTTAAGTGACTTAAGAAAAATGCTGTTGTACATGTAAGATTGGAATAAGTCTGGTCAGCGGGTTACTGCTATGCTAATTCTCTCTTCTCTCTTTGATTCTTCCAGAGCCACTCTTGAAAGAATCAAAGTTCATCCAGGAGGCATTGTGAGAATAGCTGCTGCATTGTTCACAGAATGGTTTCAGAGAAACTAGAGATAGCAGAAAGGTTATTTAGTTCCTCTTCAGAGGCTAGCAGCAGCCGTTGTTCCAAATACAATCAAATGTTTGATTTCCTTGGATGACCACATGTAACCCCTATAGATAGCCAATGAGTAAACATGACCAAAGGCTGGTACTTTCCCTCTCAGTTGAAACTTTCTGCTAAATGAATCATAATAGCTCTATGCGAAAGCAAGGGGAAAACCCACCAATGACTAGTTAAGAAATTTTCACGTATAACTGAGGAAATAATTGGAAAAAATATAAAGCAGAAAGCCTAGCAAATCAATTGCTTTTCGGATAGCACCTCCTATGTTCCCTCAATTGCCTAAGAGTTCCCTGGATTGGAGCATATGTTACACTGTATTGATTGACTTTATTCAATCAGAGAATAAACCCCCTAAGAAAAAAAATCTCACATGGCATAACAGTAACAGTGGATTTGGTAAATCAGACTACCTAGATTTGAGTACAGCATCTGCCACTTGAACTTTTATGACCTTGGGTTAGTTTTTCCATGTATCTGGACTTCATTTTCATTTTTGCAAAATGAAGACAAAGATACTGTCTATCCTGTAAGATTATTGTTGGTATTGCTTATATTAAATCACCCATCTAAAACCCTCTGCACAGGGCCAGACACATATTAGCATTCAATAATTATCAACTGCTACTTCTGATCATTGCTGCCATAGAAGTACAGTGCCCAGTGCACAGAACATTCTCGAGATAGAACAATGTAATAAATAACTCCCAAGTGTCGCCCATGGAGCAGCTACTTTGATGTATAAATTAAATGTCCTGGAACAATTGTCATTGTCATATTATACCCCTGGTTACTTTATCAAACAATTCTATTTTTATTCATTTAGTAGCATTTTATGAAATATTTGTGGCAGCTATGTAGGAATAATAGAAACTTAAAATATGTCAGGGGAATTATTTCTTTGTTCAACAAACACTTCTGAAGCAGATACAGTTTTTAAAGCACTATGAAAACACTAAGAAAGTTATAAAAAGATAAAATCCCTATATGACTTTTATTAAAAATAACAACATGCATTTATTACTCACAACAGAACAGGCATTTTATTAGGCTCTTTACATGTACTGTCTCATTTCACTGTGACCAAAACCAGCAAGGTAATTGTTATGTCCGTTTTAAAGAGAAGAAAACTGGGACTCAAAAAAACTCAGTAACTTGCCCAACATTTTCCGGCTATGATTTTCCAATGCTGAAACACCCTGGGTATTCTCAAAGCCTGTATTCTTTCTACTGTCTTACTATGCCTCTTTCAACAACTCACTGCAATCTCAGGTAGGATGGAATAAGCACTCTATTGGAGGTACAAGTAAGTTATCATGGAACTCAGAGAGAGATCAGTGAATTTGGATGTTGAAGGATTTGAAAAGGCTTTGTTCAGGGCATTTGAAATGAACTGGGTATGATAAGCAGAATTACAGAGGGGAAAGAGAAGGAGGAAAAAGGGGGCTTCAGGAAGGAAAACATAGTACTGAAGACTCCGCAGTGTCGCTTTGCAGGGGAAAGTAGCTGTGTGCTAAGACAGAGAAAATAGGCTGCAGATGGGGCAAATGTTCAGGTAGGGGTAGAATTTTCCAGAGTGTTGAATAAGGTCACTCCTTAAAATATGGGCAAAATTTCCCTGTATCTTTACAAACCATTTTGCATACCTGAAGCAAAGATAAACTTGAGCCCTATTTTAATGTTGAAAAAAATCAAAATTTCTATTTAAGCAGGTCAGACTTAATGATGTTTGTCCATAGCGCGCGCGCGCACACACACACACACACACACACACAACTATGAGCAGCTGATGTATAGACAATGATATATCTTCACCCAGTTTCTCCCATAAGGCAAATTACCCAGAGATCATTCTTAAGCCTACAAATAGCCAATCAGCAAATATTTATGGTCAAGTCAGAGGTAGAAGGAGAGGGAGAGGGAGAGAGAAAGGGAGGGGGAGCTTTCTTAGTGGCTCAAAAGCAGGTGTTTTAAGAGAAAGATAGAGTTGAGGCATCAATATGGGAGTCCATATACAGTGTGGAGCAGGGAGGTTCACAGACTTGCAGACCTTAAAGATGGTCTATTTTCCCCAGCTTTGCAGATGAAAGGTTTAGGAAGCCCTAAACCTGCACTGAACCCAAAGCTCCTGTTGCCCTAGAGTCTCCAACCACTTCATCATTTAATTGTTCTAAAAGCAGTGGCTGCTGTCTCTAAAAGGAAGGCTTTTTTTGGCTACAGCAAAAGGAAAGTGGGAAGATAAAACAAACTTTAATTCATCTGTTCTTACTCATAGGCTTCCCATCAAGGATGGGTTTTATCCTTATTTAGAATCAATACTAAGTAAAGAAAGCATAAATATACCAATTGAAAAACGCTTGCTGTGGAGGCCTTGGTGGCCACAGTAAATTGCCTGAGGTTAGAGACACCATGCATTTTCCCTAGGTCTTATTCTGAAAGCCTCAAGTGTTAAACTCAATCATTTCCTGGGACCCTTGATATAATAGCATCCATGATCCGTTAATAGGGTTTCTTTTTTTGTTTTGTTTTGTTTTGTTTTGCTTTTAGTTCTGGGACAGAGGTAAATCCCTAACAGACCAGTGGAGCTTTTGCACCCTAATTGTTGTGTTGACTATTTCTCCCCAAGAGATAATGGGAGATATATTTGAGTATTATTATTCATATCCTTGGGATATTAGGGAGGATCTGGGTGAAACATAAGAGGATCTGGGTGAAACTGGGGGATTTCCCCCGGGTATCCCCCAAAGGTTAGACTGACGTCCAGGGACTCAAACATCAAGAGCCCCTAGAGTCTCTGTATGTCACCATGAGCAGTGGCATAGACTCAGAATTAAATGACCTCAATTCCCTTATTGTTCCTCACACTAACTAGTACTAGAATTGAAGGGAAAGTCAAACTGCAAGGAAAGTTTAGATTCTTCATCTGGAAGGTAGGGGAATTGAATTGACAGGTCCCTTTAGCATCTCTTTAGTGCTAGTCTACTCCATTTCTTTGGGTTACGCTAGGCAATCACAAAATGAACCACAAGATAAGGGCTCAGAGCTGACTAGTCTGAGAAAAGAGAAGGGAAATAGATAGTGGGAAAGCATTTGAAGGGCTTAAGGCCAGATTTGTTCTCTGGCTTTTAGGAGACCTGAATTATTTTGGCCAATGCAGTCTCTAGGTCAATGAGTCTCAGGTGGGCTCACTTTGTTGATGACTAAGGGAGCAATTTATTTTCACAGAAGGTGAAAACAGTACTGCCTTGGGTGATGAGTCTAGGTGTTGGGCTACTCTCTGGTCACTTTTCTACTACATTATGCCACCTAGGTTTTCTCCTTGAGACCTAAAGGGAAGGAGAAAATAAAATAAAAGGCAGATTACTTGGAAAACATTAAACTATTATTCCCAGCCTTTCTAGAGACTATTCCAGAAGAAGCTGCATATAAAAATGCTTTGAAAGTGCCAAAAACATGAGAACCCAGAAAATTGGCATCTTTCTTAAAGTTTCAAAATTAGCATTAAAAAATTCTAGGAAAGTCCTACTGCAAAGAACCCGTATACATTTTCTTAAACTGACATTTTTCTAACTTATTTGGCCAATGAACAAACACACACACCCACTCTACACAAACTACCAATTATCCTGTATCTGGTCTGTAGAGGTGTAGAAATGACCATTTCCATAGACCTATAGAAAGATCATTTTACCTGCCCATTAGCAGCCCCTTTTCCTAATTACCTTCCTTTAGCACAGGC